CTGTGCTGTGGGCAGCTTCACTGGCCAGGATGTGATTATTATTATCTTGCACTTCTGCACTGCAGTGTAGTGATGACTGCAATTTATCAGGCTATTCCCTGGTGGACTGGATTTGACCTGAGCGCTAGAGTGTCTCGGTGCTTCCAACCAGCTCCAATCACGTGAAGCTCACGCCAGCTTTCCTGGAAGGCAGTCTGATCTGGCGGGAACTGCCTGACACATCGCCATCAATGCATAATAACCTTTACTTTAAAAAAAAAAAAAAATAAAAAAAAAAAAAAAAAAAAAAAAAAAAAAAAAAAAAAAAAAGGAAAAAAAAAAAAGAAAAAAAAAAGGAATAGAAAAACAACTTTCTGCACATGATCCCACGGTAACCCTAGCAATATGGGCATTAACATCCAGAGAGCTTTCTCCTCTGGAAGGGGAGAGTTAATGGGTTTAGATTATTTGTGGTTATCTGGATTTCAGATTGACACCATAAATATTCAAACTCTGAACCTGGCTGGATGCAGCCGCTGTTGACTTTTGTATGACCTAGCTGGAAACTTTAAATCAGCTGTCGACTTGACTTTCAAGGGAATGAAATGCTCCAAATCCACTAGATAGCATCTCCTTGGTGTTTTATTACCTCCTGAGAACCTCACTTTGGTAGGGACCCAAATCCAGCCTCCTTTCAGAAAGAGGAGCTTTGTTAGCCTTGTGAAGTCGTTAAACCTGCCGCGTGGGAATAAGAGTGTCCTACCTTGTGGCAGTACACAGGGCCTATTATATAAAATGCACATGATTAATACATAAGTGAAATGAGTCCAGATGCAAGGCTASCATCATATTATTAACAGGCTAAGATAGATCTGCATCAACAGTTTTCTCTGTCTGCTAGGTCTTCATTTTTTGAAGTATTCCTTTGTCTTTTAAGGTAGCCATTATAGGACTTCTGTGCAAGCACTAGAGATACTTTTCTTGTCACACATGGTGCGATGCCATTGTGTTCAAGAACACGTGGCCAGTTTGTTGAATGCTGTGTAAATCAGAAATTAAATGCTGTGAGCTGCCCCAAATACGGATAGGGCCAGCAATGCTGTGCCAGCAGCTGTGGGTTCCCACCCTGGTGAAGGACGTTCTTGTGCCCAGTGACTAGGAGCAGAGCAGCCCTGYGATACCGGATTCATCACAACACTCAGCCTGCGTTGAGGGCCACTGTCAGATTAATGGATGTCACAGCAGCCACAATGTCAATAAAGGTTATGGTCTACTCTGAAGCAAGAGACCCAAATATCATTTAAGTAATTGCATGGTGACGGTGGGGGAGATAGCAATAACATATCTGGCTGCTCAGCATGTGCCTCCTACTCTAATGAGCTGGACACAGCATCCAGGGATGATGCTGTGAAGATGTCGCAGAGCAGAAAGAGTTTAAGGTCAGATGCACTGCAGGAATAGAGCTGGGGACTCCTCGCTGAGGAGGGACATGCACTGAGAAGTCAAGACCTCCATAATTCCAGGGGATATTTTGAAGGGCTGCCTGCCTCTCCTCCCCAAGCCTTAATCATCTTGGCCTACCTTTCCAAAGAAGTTACTGCATTTGATTACTCAGCTTTGAAGCAGGCATGGTTTTGCAGCAGTGCTGAGAACTCGAAGCTGACTGTCATGTGGTAAGAACGGTGCCCTCAAGTCCTCACAACATAGCGGGGGTGGCCCAAGATAAGAGCTGTTATTGAAAATGCAGGAATCTGTACTGACAGCTTTGGTCTAGTCCTCTAATGTAATATTTTATTTGGTCTAAAAGATTTCTGTTTCAAATTCCCCAGGGAATTTAAAATAACTGTTCAATGAGTAGCCCTTGTGTGAAGCTAAGTGTGAGAGGTGATGGCAATAGGCTTTTGGCAAATGATCCCAACAGAGCCTTGGAAAGGCTCTCTGTCCAACCTCACAGGTTATCCCACAACTTCTCCATTCGTTTGTTTGACACAAAGCCAATCACAGGCAAATGGTTGGATCTTCAGTGACTGGAGATGCTCCCGTTAGGTTCACATTTCAGTTCTACTTCCTTTGCAGGGATTTTTACTCTTGTGGTCCTGAGCTATTGCTAAGGCATCAAAATCTCTCTCTGCTGGGGACTAGGCTCAGGGATGTGGAAGTCTCAGCATGGCTGAGCCATCGTGTAGCCATCTCCTGCCTAGACAGGGTCTTATCTGTCAGCCCGCGGGACAGGCAGTGGGATTCTGTAGAGATGTTTTTGTCCAGGCTTACTCCTGGTTATGAAGATGTTTAGCCTTCCTAATACAAATTCTCATGTCTTATACTTTCAGTATCATGTATGAATTGCTATCTGACGCGTAAGATTAATTGAATATGTAAAACAATAGGTGCTAAGAATTAATACAAGGCTTTCTAATGCAAGATGACTTTTATTCTAGTTTGAACACTTCATACAAAGGCTATAAGTACATTAGCTTTATTGATCTATATTCATAGAATTATTTAAATGTACCCTCTGGTGCTGCGTGTCAGGGATTTTCCAATGCTTGCTGCTATGCATTTTTCATTAGAGGCTAGCAAAGGCAGCTCCAAACTTTGACTGTCCAAGCAAGATCAATTGCATCTTGACAGCCATGGCCAGGCAAGTGCAGTGTGTGTTGAGAGCTGACCACTAACCGCTGGCTCAAACCATGTGCCCCAGAGCGGTGGTTTTATGGGGTCCCTCGTGGAGGCTCTCCTGCCCTGTCGGCGTTTCAGCCCTGCTAGAGCATGCTGACTATCAACATGCTGCCTTTACTGGGGTTTTTCTTCTGCATTTGATTTTAAAGAATGAAAATGGATCTGTTCCTATATATAGATGGGACTCATATATTAAAATCTTGTCTGTACTGTGCATACTAAACCTGGCCTGATCTTTCAAGGTCAGATGGTTGGCAGGTGCCAAATGTCTGTAGCTGGTTGAATTTTTTTTTTTTCCATCCAGATATGACTGGAATGTTTTTTATTTTATTTTTTCCAATTTTATCTTAAAATGCTTGTCTCTTTCTTTTTTTTTTTTCTTTTTTTCTTTTTTTTTTTTTTGACTTTCTCAGAGAGAGAGGAGGAAATGCCGGCAACTTTAATTGCTAATGAAAATTGTTCTCATTTTTTTTTCTCTTAACGGTGTTAGTTTGTAATCACTGGCCGAAGGAAATTTGAACCATTTTCAGGGAACTTGAGATGAAAAGAATTAAATTTCCCAGAGAAAAAAATGAAATTTGAAGTGTTTTTTAGCATTTATAAGTGAGATAGGTGATTAGATGAACTATGATGGCAAGGAAGCTTGTTTCCTACAGACTTGCATTGAAGCTGGGTGCRAGATGGAAGCTCTTACAGGCTCCCATTCCTCCAATGGGGCACGTGTTAAACCATGGGGAGTCTCTAGTGTCTCATGCGATGTGGAGCTTGCACTTGAGGGAGGACACCAAGAAGGGCTCTGTCCTGTAGCTGACAGTCTAGAGAAGTGAAAACTGTCCAAGTTTCCGTGTCTCTGTTACGCTGAGTTGAAATCAGCTTGCAGGTTCCAAAGTGATGAGAACACACAAGCCTACGGAATAATTGCATTAGACTCTTTCCTTGAGAACCAAGCTAAAAAGCAGCGGCGTATTTTACAAAGCTTATTAAGATGATCATTTTGCATCTCATTCAGTGTTCACAGCCCTTTYAATGTTCTGTAAGGCTTACGTTAGCGTTTTTAAAGTTCCCGTTTTAGCGTGAGCGGGGGGCGTGCAGCTGATGGGCCTCTACGGAGAGAGCACACGTGGTGCGTGCGTGCTGCAGGTCTGAAACCTCTGCAGCTTGGGAGGTGTTCGGCTCCCTCCTGCTGATGTGGACGCAGTTGTTGTTGCCTAAAGACTCCTCCAAATCTGGCTTCACTTCCTTCGGTTATTGGATGGTACCATTGTCTACCCAGCACTAAAGCCGCTGAGAAGGCTATGGCTCCGTCTCTCTCTCCGTCTCTCTCTCTCTCCGTCTCTCTCTCTCTCCGTCTCTCTCTCTCTCC